TTGTGACTGTTGAAGCTTTACCCACGTGAAATGGTATAAGTGGGGATGAAATGTGTCTCTAAACTCATCTACAATCGTGGCAATAAATCCTATTTCTTCAGATCTACTCTCAAAAACTACACAGAGCTTCACAACTGCAGCAGCTCCACTCAGTTTTACAGAGTGACCAGTGCCTGTGCTGTCAAGGGCTGGATTTCAAGAACTGAAGAGAGAGAAACATTTCACTCACTCATTGCACTACAGCTCTACCTGTAATATTCCACTTGGTGCCATGCTCTATAGAAACCATCGAGAGACTGTTCTCCTTGACGGATGTATTTTGTCTTGCTGACATACACACCTACAGAAAGGGAAGAGATATTACATAGAGATAATCTATATAACAAAATATATATTTATATAAAGTGTATGCAACCAAAATTAAGAGCATAAAATATTTAAGATGAAAAAAACCAACAATCTAAAACTTTTGACTATACTTTTGTTACTCAAGTACATTGAAGTTCTTATTTTCACTCTTCCCTTCTCTTTGCAGATATTCCACACATCCAAAAGCACAAACAAACTCAGATCAGGCCTAACAACCATGTCATAAACACCAAACCCACCCAATTGCTTCTGTCATGGTGACACACACAGTTACAGCTATTTCCAAAGGTGCAGCTTACCATCAAACCGAACTCGAGGCTTCTCCAGAAACATTTCCCTCCAAGAGGTGTATGGAACAAGTTTATTGCAGCTCCTGCCCCATATTTTCAAACAGACTTGATGCCAGATTTCAGGATCTCTAGTGAAAATGAGAAAGAAGCAAACCCCATAACTTTCCTACAAACCTTGTTTAGCTTTTATTTATATCACAGAAACACAGACTCAGTCAGGTTGGAAGGGACCACAGTGGTCATCTGGTCCAACCTCTCTACTCCAGCAGGGCCAGCCCAGAGCTCATGGCTCAGGGTTGTGTCCAGATGGGTCTGGAATATCTCCAGTGAGGAGAATCCACGACCTCTCTGGGCAATCTGTTCAGTGCTCAGGGACTGCACAGGAAAGAAGTTCTTCCTTGTGTTCAGGTGGAACTTCCTGTGCATCAGTTTTTGCTGTTTCCTCTTATTTTATTGGTTTCTATCACTGAGCAGAGTCTGATCCATCCTCTTGGCACCTCCCCTTGGGTTGGAAGAGACCTCAAGGATCACCAAGTCCAACCCTACCGTGGTCACTAGACCATGGCACTAAGTGCCACATCCAGTCTCACCTTGAAAACCTCCAGGTTTTTTCCCTCTGGGTAGGTTATCTACAATACCTGGCACAAATGTAAAACCCTCGGCAGACAAGAGAGAGCTGCTCCAAGGATCTCAGATCTAAGTCACTTGAAACCACCCATCGGAAAATGTACATCAGGACTTCCATCGGCAGCGCTGCGAAGAGAAAGGGAATCCTTGTCAGATGGCACCCTGGAAACCAAGAGGCTCTAACTACAGCCTTGGCTGTTCTCACTTTCCATAAAAAATCCTACTTTGCCACATGTTTCTAGGTTTTTACTAAACTGGGGGGTGTTAACACTCTTTGCTACAGACACACCCTGTAGGAAAAATAGTAGGGTATTTCTGGTGAAGAATGAGATCTTTACTTGTATACAAGGAAAAAGCTACTATGAAAAATTGCCCATGTGCTGGGGAGGGGAAATAAGTATATTCAGTATGTCAGTTACACAGCAGAGCTCTAGTCCTGTCCTGCTCATCAGATGGAACACAGGGAATCAATTCAGCCAAATCCATTGCTTTGCATTCAGTTTTCCTTGGGCTGCTGAGGTCTGTAACTACTGTACTGCTGGGATGTCCAAGAAGGATCTTTTCCAGCCTACTAACCTCTGAAACAGGTATCACAATATTAACAGTTTTCATTCTGCTATAAAAGAGTCAGTAAAAAAAGATGCTGTGACATGGGACTGGTAGGAAGGCAGAAAATAAAACTAGAAAGAGACTGAGGTTAGTGCTTGAAAGAGACATCTCCTAACATCACTTTTATAGTAAAGTCTACTTGCAAAAAAAAATAAATCCTTTCCCAAGTGTAGAATGTCACAGCTACCAAAATAAAACCTAAAAAAATCATGTTTTCTTTATGTTTTGACTTGAACAGTTGCATCATTGACTTTATTTTCTTTCCTTGACCAAAACAGAGATCAAGCCATGATTTCATAGAATTTTAGGGGCTGGAATGGGCCTTAGAGATCACCTAGTCCCATCCCCCTGCCCTGGACAGGGACACCTCCCACCAGAGCAGGTTGCTCAAGGCTCATCCAACCTGGAATTTCCAAGAGCAACTGGTAATGCAAGATGCAAAGCACATCTTTTCTTAACACAGTCCATAGCTTACACTCTCTACAATTTAGATCTCGTAAGGAAGTCTCAGGATAACTGTGCTAGAACTGAAACACTGCAAACCATCAGCCTTCCAAAGACTTTCCAGCTTTGTCATATGGTCTTGCTGAACCTGAAAACACATTTGTTGCCAAAATCTCCTGCAGAATCAGAGAAGAACAAGAAATGTGAAGATGCACATTCTTCCCAGAACAAATTTCTCTTACCCAGACTGAAAAACTGCAAATAAACATGTGTAAACCAAACCAAAGAACTGGAATGAAAACTGGGATACACTTACTGCAGCAAGTCTGTCCCTAGGAGTTGCTACTTTTAAGTATGACTCTGATGCTGAAAATTCTACTCAGTAACAAGTGGAAAAGCTTGTGCAATAAAGGCAAGATCATGAATGAGAACAAGATCTGTTTAGCTATGATGATATTTGTTTCTTTCATATCTAACTATAAAGGTAAATAAAAAGATGCTGTGTGCAAGTGAAGGAGACAAATGTTTTAACAGAAACACCTACAAAATTCTGACTCTGAACTCTTACAGTGCATCTTAGCTCATACCTGAGATATGGGTCTGGCTGACATCCACCTCAGGCTGACAAAGTTTGACTGAAGATTCCTGCAGAGTCAACTGCTGCTGGAAATCCGACAGGAGATCAACCATTTTGCCATCCTCTTTGTTATCCTCCACACTGGAAAAGGGAGAATGCCAACACTGTGATATTGGACAAAACATACCAACAGATGTCCTCACCTTGGCATCAATCCACTGCCTCACCCTGTGTGCATTAAAGCAATCTCATTTCACCACAGGATAAAACAGCTACTGCACAATCAAGTTCCTTTAGACTTTGCTGGAATCCCTCTGACAGGAACAACTTTCCTTCATTTAATTCTCCTACAAATTTCTTTTTGGATTTGAGGTTGGACTCAATGATCCAACCCAGCACTGCCAAACCACCATCAAGCCACGTCCCTAAGTGCCACATGTACACATCTTTTCAACAGCCACAGGGACAGTGACTCAACCACTGCCCTGGGCAGCTGTGCCAGTGCTTGACAACCCTTTCTGTGAAGACATACCCAACATAAACCTCCCCTGGCACACCCTGAGGCCATTCCTTCTTGTCCTATAGCTTGTTACTTTGGAGAAAAGATTGACCTCCACCTTGCCACAACCTCCTGTTAGGGAGTTGTAGAGGGTGATAAGGTCTCCCCTGAGCCTCCTCTTCTCCAGGCTGAACACCCCCAGCTCCCTCAGCCTCTGCTCATGGCACTTGTGCTCCAGCCCCTTCACCAGCACCTCAATGTCCTTCTTGAAGTGAGCGGCACAGAACTGGACACAGAATTTGAGGTGTGGCCTCACCAGTGCTGAGTACAGAGGGACAATCACTGCCTCAGTCCTGCTGGCCACACTATTGCTGATACAGTCAGGATGCCATTGGCCTCTGGTCCCCCTGGGCACACTGCTGGCTCATGTTCAGCTGCTGTCAACCAGCCCCCCCAGGTCCTTTCCTCTGGGCAGTTTTCCATCCACTCTGCCCCAGCCTGTAGTGCTGCATGGGGTTGTTGTGACCCAAGGGCAGGACCAGCTCTTGGCCTTGTTGAACCTCACGAAATTGGCCTCAGCACATCGATCTAGCCTGTCCAGATCCCTCTGCAGAACCTTCCTACCCTCCAGCAGATCAACACTCCCACCCAACTTCGTGTCAGCGAGTCTTAATAGAGTAAGAAAAAACAATGTTAAGACAAGAAAGCAACCCTAAGGAAACCAAGATTTTTACAGGACTGTAGAATATCACTCAGTAGTTCTCTTAGTGCACAAATGCACAGCAAAGATTTCATGCCAGCAATGCATTCAGAAACTGAAGCATGGGATGTAAATAAAGCACTTAGCTCATCTTACACTCTTTTATATTGAGTCAACTGCTGCACTGGAGCTGTACTGCCCTGGGGCAACCAGACTGAGCTAGTAACAGCAGCACAGGGACATGGTTGTACTTTCCTCTTTTATTCTCCCTTTTAAACCCCTTGATTTCTTGTAGCTCTCAGCAGCATCCATGGCTGCTATGAGGAAGCAATGAATTGGGAAGTTCTGTTTCATCAGCTTGTCTTCACTAGGCTATGGGAGCTGTAACAGAAGTTTTGGCTCTCATCTGAATTCTGCCCTCAAAAATAAGTCTTAGGCTCAAGTTAGGCCTACACAACCTGGTATGATGAGGCTAGGGGTGAGCTGATGAAAGACTAGACTACTCAGATTACAGTCCTGAGCCTCTAAATGTGTTGCTCTTCTTATTGAAAATGCTCTTGGCTGTGTTAGTTTTGGCTGTATTAGTCCCTTGCTTAATTAAGGTGCTTATTCCATAGTACAACTTTGTAGCTAGTCCTAAATGTGGAAATCAAAAATCAAAATAAAGTGAGTGACGCTTTGTTCTTTCCTTTTTATAAGTACCAACATCACTATATGTAATCCCACTTGAAATTAACCAGCTCCAAACAAGTCTCACACTGTCTCTGGACAACAACACAGACAAATCCTCCTAGGACTAATGCATATGTAAACTCCTGAAGCATTTTATCCAACTGAGAGCAGGGAAGTCTTCCAGATGTTAAGAGACTTACCACTGCAATATCACAGCAGAGTACTGATAAGCTTCAGGAACAAAACATCCATCTTTCAGTGCTCCTATGCACTTAACTAGTAAGTTTTCATACTCACCACCTCTTTCCAACTCCATCACTGTCTGGGGATCGTGTGTAGGTGATCTTAAACTCTATGTCAGGAACAAGCTGCATGGCTAGACGGTAAAACTTGATGGCTGGAAGGAAAGGGTTCATGTTTAAATGTATCTAGTGCCCACACTAGGTTCTCAGAGCCAAGAGTGTTTTCAGAGAGATGCTTTCAGCTAAAAGCTCTACAGAAGTGGAAAATGCTTTGGCCTAGGAAATCTTACTTAGTCTAAACTGATTACGCTTAAATTCAATAGAGAAGACAGGAATATTAAGCATCTGTTTCCAAAACTAAATGCATCATGTACTTTTTCAGAACAAACAGCTATCTCAGATGTGTTTCAGCTCTTACAGACTTACCTGAATTGCTATAGCATAAACTATGGGGTACAAAATTTTACATTAAAACCTTACAGAGACCTGATGTGGTTTGCTGCCCAGCACTGAACACAGCTTTCTCAACATGCTGTGAAGATTTTAGGCAGTATATATTGGTAAGTAACCATGAGGAACATGAAGGAGAAAAATTATATACCTTAAATATACTACTTTATATTGACTACACCTTAAATCCCCAGTCATTCACACATGGACAACATTATAAAGGTGAGAAAGGCCAATAAAATATTGCTGTCTTTTTAAAACCTCAACACTAGATGCAAAACAAATCAATTTCCCTACGACAAAGCTCTGGAAACTAAAGAAGACACAGAAGCAAAGCCACTGAAAGCACTGAGGGTGAAGAAAGCAGCCACAGGGCAGTGAAAGAAAAACTGATTGGGTTTCAAACACAGAGAAAATACTTCTGCCTTTAACACTGAGCAGAGAAAGAGGTTCAGGAAAATCACCCTGTGGCAACAAACTCTTATTTAAGCTGCTCAATGTCCTTCTGAGTCAACACTGTGAATCCTTCTAAATTCCATCTGCTGTGTGCACATTCAGCCTGTTTTAATGCCTGCACTGAGATCATGGATATATTTATTTACATGTCGCTTTGTCTTCCCAGATGGTGATGCCAAGACCTCAGCTTGGATGCAAACAAAACATCAGTGAGGGTGGAGCTCAGGATTTGCCTAACAAGTCTGAGGAACCTGTGTTTGGGGCTATTCCTGTTCCCCTGAGTTCATGTCAGGGGCAGTGACTGACAAGTAGTGTCCTCTGGCTGGTCAGCATGGGAAATACCAGCAGCCAGCTAAATAGAGATCAGTCTCAACTTTAGCATTTAATCTCACAGACAAGGTCTGCACCGTACTTAAAGAGCCACAAGCTGCTGCACACAACTGTCTCACAAACCTCAGGTATCAGCAGATTTCAGCAGGCTGAAATGCCACTCAGATCCTGCTGACCTGGACCAGGCCCTTTATTCAGAAAGAACCTTCACAATCTACTGCACAATTCCTAAATGGCAGATTACATGTCATGTTTAGCTCTGACGTGTTTTTTTTACTGTTCATTTAACCCAATACATCTTGGCCTAAAGTAATTTTGCCCTGTAAAAACCATGTAATAAATTAGACACTGAGACAACTAATTTTACTACCTACAGGGGCCTCACATTTCTCTCAGCTGATTTGAGATATGAAACAGCAACCAGAGATGCCTTGCAAGGGAAGGAAAGATCCCATGGTGGAGAGGAGATTTGGTATTCAGCAGGTGACTGAGCTTCCAGAGCACTCTCAGGTTTGCACACCTTAACTTATTCTGCACTTTAAACACAGTGGCCAAACCCATCAGTGGGTGAGCAGGATGGTACATGTGTTCTGTTCCTCTCCCTCATGAAAGAAATAGAGAACTGGTATCTGCACTCCTAACCTACAGGACTTGGAAGATAGGATAGTTATTACTTCATATATTCTGAAAACTAAGTATGAGGAATAAAAGTTGGAATTTCTCTTTTTTCCTAGTGCTGACAGCAAGAGGGGAAGCAAGCTAAGCACCCTGAGACTACCAGATTTAAACATCTACTTCAGGATCCTGTGCCAGTTAAAACAACAAAACCAACACCACTCCCCACACCAAAAATAGAGCCCCACAACCAAAGAACGAAACATTCCATGGGTTAAGCAGTTCTGTCCAGTGTGGAGTGATGAAAACTGTGAGCAGAGGAAATGAGAGTATATTGCCTCGATTAACTGCCGTGCTAATTTCGTGTGACAGAAGTCACAGAAAGAAGCATTCTAGATGAAGTAGTAATCCAGTGCTTCATTGGGTTGAAGATCCTCTCATTTTATCTTAAAGCTAGAGATTCTTTCCTTGGTTTCACTTCAGCTTCACCTCAGCTTTAGCACTGTGATATAATGGTTCCTTTTACAGCAAGTTTGTTTTTTTCTCTCAATAACTGAGCTCTCCAAGTTACTATCAGCCTGCAGATTAAGCTCATTGGCATCATGCAGTCTTGCACACAGACCAGAGGGTGTTAGATTCCTCTGCAATAAGGGTATTCCTTGAAGACTTCCATGTTACCTTCATAAAGGGCCCCATTTCGCTCCTCTTCCACTGCCTTCAGGAAAAGTTCTTTTGCCTGCAATAGAAATCACACAGAATACTTCTTAAGTTCCTTGCAAACCCCTTATGTCACTTGATTTAGAATTAGTTTTGATCTTACTTGCTGTACCCTTTGAAGGAGACAAAACAAATAATTCCATAAATAAGGAAGACATATTCATAGAATCAACCAGGTTGGAAAAGACCTCCAAGATCATCAAGTCCAAACCCTCCCGTGGTCACTAGCCCATGGCACTAAGTGCCACATCCAGTCTCAGCTTGAAAACCTCCAGGGATGGGGAATCCACCACCTCCCTGGGCAGCACATTCCAATGCCTGAGCACTCTCTCTGCAAAAAATCTCTTCCTAATCTCCAACCTAACCCTCCCCTGGCAGAGCTTGAGTCTGTGCCCTCTTGTCCTGCTGCTGGTGGCCTGGGAGAAGAGACCAACCCACACCAACTAGGAAAATCAGTGTAGGATTATATAAGACATCAGTATGGAAACAACAGGATAATCACCTCTGTGGTTTCTCTAGATTTGATCCAGCATGAGCTTTTAGGATAGTTATTCTAGAATCACAGAATTTAAGGGTTGGAATGGACCTTAGAGATCACCTAGTCCCACCCCCTGCCCTGGGCAGGGACACCTCCCACCAGAGCAGGTTGCTCAAGGCTCATCCAACCTGGCTGTGAACACTGCCAGGGTTGGGGCAGCCACAGCCTCCCTGGGCAACCTGGGACAGGGTCTCACCATCCTGAAACAGTAACACACACAAATCAAATCTCAAAATTATATGTTTATTTTTTGTACCTTTTCCTCTTTTGCTATCTCCTGTTTCCCTTTGGCATCTACGGACTTCACTCCAGGTCCTCTTGAAGATGCTCTGCATGGTAGAGGCTCCAACCCACTAGAACTCACGCCTGGGGCCAGCTCAAACATCCACTGAGCTCTGAACATCTGGAGCTCTGCCTGGAAAACACAAGGAATTCTCACTTATTATCACACATTCAGACAGGGCAACTTCTGAGGAGAAATGATGAAGTACAAACACAGAAAAGGATTGGGAAATTATGCTTTACACTCCCAAGTCTTCAGTGAGTTTAGGCACAGAGAGTTAGCAAATCACAGAATCAAGGTTGGAGGAGACCTCTAAGATTATCCAGTCCAACCATTAACCTGTCACTGTTGGAACCCCTAAACCCTAAACCAGATCCTCCAGGGTCAGATCCAGACACCTCTTAAACATTTCCAGGGATGGTGACTCCACCACCTCCCTGGGCAACCTGTGATAGTATGAACACACTTTTCTATTAAACTGCTTTTACCAGCTTTCTGCTCCGGAAGAGAGTGACAACTTAAACTGCAATTTGATCCATACGCAAACTGCTGTCCAATTTCTACAGCTCCTCAAAGAAATTCCAAAGCTGTCACAAACTTTCTTTTCATCTGCAGTGATAGCTGAAGGCTGAATTTGACACTTGGAACACAATGCAAAATTCCTCTCTCTCACTTTTGGAGGGGTAGACAGATTAAGCATTTGTCAGATCAACCAATGTGTGGTAACTAAACGAGGCTAAGTGATGTAGCTTAAATCACAGCAGTACCATATTTGTACAAAACCACCAGCACAAGCCACATACCTGAAGATTTGCTTCACCAGATCTTTCATGGTCATCGGTTCTTACCAACTCAGAGTGACAATCTTCTTCAGCTTCTGCCTAGAGAAGAGCAGCCAAACATGATTATAGAGTCTGGGAGAGTCCCTGCAGCACATTCACAGAGCACAGCTGTCATGGACACACACTGAAGAAATAATTTAAGCATCCTCCCCTTCTGATGATAAAAATTACCTTTAAAACTACTGGTATTGTTTGCTCTTCCCTCAGTGACATTGGGTTTGGCATTTTAGACACATCAATCCAACACAGATTAGTTCTGTGTCACTTGAAGGGCTCCATGCAGAGCATGTGCTGTCTAAATATGTGATACCAAGCCAGAATTCATGGTGTTTTTTAGGCAGAGCTCCAGATGTTCAGAGCTCAGTGGATGTCTGAGCTAGCCCCAAGGTTCTAGTGGGCTGGAACCTCTGCCATGCAGAGCATCTTCAAGAGGACCTGAAGTCTGTAGATGCCAGAAGGAAACAGGAGATAGCAAAAGAGGAAAAGGTACAAGAAAATAGGTGTATCATTTTGAGATTTGTGTGTTATTGCTGCAGTATGCAGTGGCATCATACCTGAATAAATACACTCTGTGTCTGTGCACAGAATCAAAGCTTCAGTACTGAACAGCACTGTACTTCACACAAGAGATTAAAATTTAATCACTACCTTCTCGTTGTAGAGATAACCAGCAGTTTTGATTAGTTTAATACCTACAGAAGCACAAAAGACTTTAGGTGCTTGATGAAAATTCTGGGACAATGCAGGTAATCTCAAAACAGACAGTGAAATTAAACAAGGAATGTATTGGAAAATCAAACAACGAGCTAGCGTGAGAGCCTGACAGCTGGTTTTGTTTCCAGCACTGCTGTGAGGCAGGTTAAACAAACAAGGCCTGAAATAAGACCTCTGACTAAGCTTAACAGGGAGTTGAGCCAGCTAGGTGAAGAGGAAAGCTCCAAAAGCTGCAGATGAATCCTCATTGTGAAATACACTGAGATTTGTGGAATCTATACCAAAACAAAGGAGAGCTAACTCTGAGCATCAGTGACAAGGCCACTACAATGACAACAGTAAGGGGAAAAAAAAAACCCTCAAGGAAGACCTTTGTTTAAGGTTCTTTCTGCAGCTGAAGCAAACCAGCCTTGCTACCATTCTGTGCTCAAACATCTATAGTTCTCTAAGTACCTAATGCAAAGGCAGATTACAAGAGGGCAAACCTGACGTTAAGATGATCACAACTACTCACAGAGGTTTTGTTTCTCACTCCTTCCTATTGTAGACAGTGCCCAAAGACTTCAGGTGACATTGTGTCAGGGAGACACTACCAAGCTCTCAGAACCTCTGTCTCCTGCACAAAGTGCAGAAATCAGAGAATTTATATGACTTTTATAGCACCTGAAAGGCCTCATCAAACTACAGAATGGCAAACTGGCAAACCTGATGGGAAGGCAACGTTGGCTGTCTTTGTCTTGGAGGAGCTCACCTGTAGTACACATCTTCAGTTTCCCAAACAACCACAAACTTTGTGGCTTCTCATCTCTAGAAGTGTTTTCCCTGCTGTCTCAGTTTACAACTGATAATGCAGACAGGGTTGGCAGGTTAAACAGACACTGCATCTGGTTCTACATTGTGAATTTAAGGCTGGATAGCTTTAATTTCCTGAGATAACACGTGGGACAGAACTCTCCAAAGCACTAGAGGCATCAAACCTGAGCAAGGAATAAATAACTTCATTTTCACGAATTTTGACACCAGGAGTTCATTGCAGACCTGCAGTTAATGCCCTATGAGTTATAGCAGTTCTACCATAGTATTTTAGCACCCAGGAAATGCATTTCTGTTGGCCAAACTGAGCCTGGGAAGGAGCTAGCACTGAAATGGGTTTCTGTGAGGTGTCTGTAGGTGTGTTGTTATGGCACTGGGCTGACACAAACAATGCCTAATCCTGACTGTGCAGAGTGCAAGGCTTCTGGTTTGCAGCTGGATTATGCCTAGTCAGCTCCCAGTCTGGGCAAATAAGCCTGGTTTTATCTGCAAAATGCAGAAACTAGCAATTCCTAAACAAAATCAACACATGATCTTCTTGGGCATAAAGACATACCCACTCAACCACTGACATCCCGTCAGCAAACACATTAACTCAAGAGTTAAAAATTACCCAGAAGGTTAGGAAGCTGGCTGAAGTTCACCTTATGATCTGAAACTTCTTGTTTCACTAATCTGTTTGACTCTGATTTTCCTCTCCTCATCCCTGTTCCACTGTCCTGCTTCACTTCTGAGTCACAGTCAGACATGGCTCTGCACCAACTGCATCCAAAATGTCACTGGATGCTCTTTAAAACCAAAACATGCTCTCGATTTGAACAGAAAATGCTGTGAAGGCCTAGCCCACAGTCTAAAAGCTGTCCAAAAGACATCATGAAGTTGACTACAACCAAAGCCTTGCCTTTTGTCATTACCTCCTCTACACTGTGTTCACGTGTGATCTAAGTCTCTCCTACCAAAGGTCTCTCTTAGAATCATAGGACCATCAAGGCTGCAGGAAACCTCTAAGATCATTGAGTCCAAAAATGCTGTGAAGGCCTAGCCCACAGTCTAAAAGCTGTCCAAAAGACATCATGAAGTTGACTACAACCAAAGCCTTGCCTTTTGTCATTACCTCCTCTACACTGTGTTCACGTGTGATCTAAGTCTCTCCTACCAAAGGTCTCTCTTAGAATCATAGGACCATCAAGGCTGCAGGAAACCTCTAAGATCATTGAGTCCAACCATTAAATTAACACTGCTGGAACCCCTAAACCAGATCCTCCAGGGTCAGATTCAGATGCCTCTTAAACACCTCCAGGGATGGTGACTGCACCACCTCCTTGGGCAATATTCCAGGGCCTCAACACCCTAACAGGTATAAAATTCTTCCTACCATCTAATCTGAATCTCAATCTGAATGTCTTCTGGCAGCAGCAGCAGCTGCTACCCCTCTAGTTTTACCAGTAAAGCAATTAATTTGCAATTGGACTGGAAAACTGATCCCTGTTAATGACCTTTCTGCTATTTATTAGATCTGTTGGAACCCTAAGATGTTGCTGGAACGAATGAAGCTGAAACCAGGATCTTCACCAGGTGAGAGCTCACAAGATCCCACCTAAAGCATGTACAAACTGAGTCCCTGTCCCCACCCTGACAACACTTAAGCACACTTAGTGGATTAATCTAGCCTGTTCCTCTCTGTGCTGCCTTCCTCCTGCTGTCACATGGAGCAGTGACTTTATCCTGATGGAAAGAGACATCTTAGCGTGTACTGATCAGCTCCATTAATTTTCCATGAGAAGGAGCAGCCTGTCAAGCTGCAACCAAAAGGTCAATGTGTCAAAAGTAAACACCTGAGTTAGACTGTGACCTGTAAAAAACTACAAGTCAGCAGAGTAGATTCGATTCTGATTTGTTTGCAAAGCTTCAGGAACCATTTGCCAAGCGCAAAACTAGTTTGGTTTTGTTTTGCAATCTGATTTCTTCAGAGTATGACACTGAACTGCCTGTAATGTCAAGTCCTCCAAGTTCAGATCTCTGTGTCAGCAGAACAAAGCCAAGACCAGGGACAGCTCAGAGCTGAGTGTCACCACTTGAACAGGGCACAACTCAGGGACGAACAAGCAAAACAGACCCAAACAGTGACCATCAGCTAACCTTCCTCTGGGCTTTAAGGGAAATAAGTCACACCATCCTCCTGTTAATGTGGTAGAAGCAACACCATGTTCAAACCCAGGAGTTTTATCACAGTGGTGATAAGTGGGTGTAAGAGCTCCTGAATGGCATAAATGGTTGAACTTCGACTGATCAAGTTCTCATTGTGGATATGTGAATCCACATTGAGGTGCAGCCACAAAAGCAACACTGAACCAAGCAGTGTTTCTGATGTGTTAAATGACAAACACTTCTGATATGTTAAATGACAAACTCAACCAACTAGAGTAGCAAATTACTGAGTGACTCTATGCCACCAGATTGAGGGAAAAGGCACGGCATGCTCCTCTGCAATGCCACAGAACCCTCTGTCATGCTCTGAGACAAAGAAAACAGCCTTGAAAGGGTTAAAGGGTCTCCTCTCTTGAGGAGAGGCTGAGGGAGCTGGGGGTGTTCAGCCTGGAGAAGAGGAGGCTCAGGGGAGACCTTCTCACCCTCTGCAACTCCCTGACAGGAGGTTGGAGTCAGGTGGGGGTTGGTCTCTGCTCCCAGGCAACAGCAGCAGGACAAGAGGGCACAGACTCAAGCTCTGCCAGGGGAGGGTTAGGTTGGATCTTAGGAAGAGATTTTTTACAGAGAGAGTGCTCAGGCATTGGAATGTGCTGCGGTGGATTCACCATCCCTGGAGGTTTTCAAGCTGAGACTGGATGTGGCACTTAGTGCCATAGTCTAGTACCCACAGTAGGGCTGGACTTGATGATCATGGAGGTCTTTTCCAACCTGGCTGATTCTATGATTCTAAAGCCAGTACCGTCTGCCTGTTAAATGTGTTTTCCTGTCAGCTGAGGGTCAGGCAGGGAGGAGGACCTGACATCTGGCTTGAAGGCTTTGCAGCAACCTCTACCTCCTCCTGCCTGCAGAAGTGTCCTATTAGTCAGGCCGAGCAGGTATAGCTTCCTCTTCCTTTCCATCTAGCAGTGAGAGCGGCACACAGGCTTCACCTTACCGCCCTACACCTCTAAGCTGCAAGAGGTAGCAAACTACCAGTGAATCGGTGCCCAGCAGGACCTGCAATCCCCTACCTCACCCCCAAACCCTCCGCGGGAGGCACAGCCAGGGCGGGACCAGCGCCAGGACCGCGGTACACATCCCACCAGCATCACCCGATGCAGTGTTGCTTAGCAACATCCCCTTTACACCCC